AACCAGAGAGAAGTTTGATAGCACCAGGTCTATATTTGTGGTGCTGATATGAGTTTTATTTTAAGATAGAAAACAAGTTCAAACTGTCTAACTGGGTAGGCTTAATCTTTTTCTTAGTTGATCCAAGACAATCTAAGAAGAACATATTGCTTGAGGGGGTGGACTGGTTCTCAAAAGATGATCCAAGGTGCACCTTTAACTTCATGGATGATTGCTCTAATCCAGGGAGTCATAGCTAGCACTTACAGTTCCTGAATTTACCAACTGAAACAATGATTAATTCTCTGTTTAACATGCTTACACACAGGGCCAAACAGATAACTCTAAGAAAAGGAGGAAGACACTGAGTGAAGAAAGGAATCATAGACTTCTGTTTTGCCATTAGTTGAAGATAAGATAAATTGGCTTTAAAAACTATCGGCAGGGCTTCCCAGTATTTCAGATGCAACTTTCTATGTTTGTTGGAATGCAGTTATTTTATTAAGAGAAAAAAAAATAGTGGAGAGAAAGAGCAAGAGCCAGGAAAGGCTGGCATGGGGCAGCAGTGGGCAAGAGCTGTGCCCAAGGGCTTCTCACACCTCTCTATGCCATTTTTTGACCCCCAGGTTCCCTGTCAGAAGAGGTGGGGCTCTTTGGTGTTCTTTCAGGAACATGCAGTGGCCAGGAGACAAAGAGCCCATGGTGGAAGAAGTGAAGAAGGCGAGAAGGAAATATCAAGGGACTAGAAAACGAGACATTCCACAGGCAACAAGGCATTCACTAGGGAGCAGGTCCAATGGGTTAATGTTTGCATGCGATGCTGTGTGCAAAAGCTAAGGGAAACTTAATGAAGAACCAAAATGTACAGAAACTTTATTAACCTCACAGCATCTGTGAAGATGTGCATAGTCAACTCTGTGACCTTATGGGACTCTTCAGACCTGGTAGAAAAATCACAGATGCAAAGTAGCAGCTTATAGGTGACAGAGGTAAATACTCCCTGGAGCCTGGGACTACCTTTGCAGCATTAAAAAGTGTTTTTGTTTGCCCCAGAATGTATTATGGTGTTATCAGGAAACCTCAATGTTACCCAAGAATATGACTTTGACCATGAATATCTATAAAATTATGGAAGTGCCAATCTGTGAACATATTTTACAGTCCACTTAGAGATGTAGAAGATGGACAGATAATCTGTGTCCATGATGCCCTCTCTCTAGCCATAGATACAATGAATAGAATAAGAGCTTTGAGTTGTTATAGGACTCATTTCACATGAGTCCCAATGTGTGATATGTTATAGTTGGATTGAGATGATTGTGGAGGATGAGATAATTTACCCTGTGGTGCTGTCTACATATTTGGCAAAGACATTTCTGAATCATTGTACTATTCCAGTGATATCAGTTTCACCTAAGACCTAGGTCATCATGGAGTGCCTCATGTAATCCAGTCAGTGCATTCTAGACTACTTCTTAGAAGTTCTTCCTAGAACACCTTTCTTTGAGCATGGACATATGCTCGTCTTAAAAACAAAACAGTATCTATGTGTTTCTGTAACAATATTAACTTGTCTTGAAGTTATGGCACATTATAGAGCAAAACATGTCATACTAATAATGACATTTAACACAGTGAAGTGGAAATTTCTGGTTTCTTGAAGACTGAATTTTGTCATGTGATATTTTGCCCAAGGCTTGTGAGAGGGCATGTGATGTTTTGCTGTGACCCCTCACATGTGAAGGGTGAGACTTTGGCAAGCTCAGGACACCTGTGGGTGGACTTGGAGGAAAGGACATAGACAGAGGCCAAGGCAGAGTGAGATATCACTTTTTGGATTGACACTGCTGCGCTGATATTTGTGCTTCGACACTTGATTCGAAGAGAGAAACATTTCAGAAAGCTTCTTTGGGCAATCCAAATGAGTCTTTCAGCTTTCAGTGCTTTGTGTTGACCTTGGGACTAGACTGCTGGTATGCTGATGACTGAGTCTAGTAATCCCCTAGGAACCCATGACCCTGATCAGCAGGAAGTAAATAAAAAAGGTCTACAGCCCTTTTCCCTACTAATCTACCTAAGGCTGGGAGGGAGGAGGGGTTGGAAGGAAGGTAAAGGTGCTTAAGAACCCTAAATAAAATAGGTTTGGTGAAAAATCTAAGCCTACAGCACAGCTAGAGACTGCTCTAGATTTGTCAGTCCAACAATTTACCTGCTGCATTTATTGTAATCATTTTTCTCTTGACTAGTTAAGCAAAAAGGGCAACATAATAATTTGCCGCCTTTTGATTGCCTGGAAAATTTAACTGATTTGGACTAATAGGGTTAGGTTTTTACTTAAAAAATCCACAACCTGAGTTCCACTTACTTTATTACCCTTTATTTTATTGAAATGTGTAATTAAATGAAGAGGAGAGTGTTTTAAAAATTCAAGGTATTTCTTTTCAATAGACTAACTACTTCATGTTGATCTGTATATTTGTTTTAGGAATGTAAAAAAGGACCATTGCCAGGGTAGGGAGAATGGAGAACAACTTGAGAGGGGAATAGCAGGGAACAAGTAATCTGACTGGGGAAACAGGAAATAAGGGAGAGAGGTTCTAATAAGGGAGAGAAAGAAGAAAGAAAAAAGAGAGTAAAATAACAATAAAGATGTTTGCAAAAGTCAGAAGGAATCATACTAAAAACTCCCTAAAATCTGATAATATATGCAAGTTGGTATATAAATATACACACATAGTTTTAATAAAACTTTCTCATTTTGGCTTGATAATGCTCTCTCCAAGTATAAAGACTACCTAAAGAAAACGGCAACACTAGGCATGAAGAGCCCTCTTTTTAGTTTTTGGACAGGGTCTTCCAAGAGACTCCTTAAACATAAAAGCTGCTGCTATTTTCCTAGGTTGCTCGCCAGAGTTGTAAGATAAGTACTTATTGGTGAAGAAACCATGTACATAGGACACAGGGCCCAGACGCTTGTGGGTTGTATCTGACCTGAGTGTTTCCTCCCTGAGGATTAGATTTTCTTGTACCAGAAGCACTATGCAAGCATGCAAAGGGAGAAAGCAATAATAGTCCTACCCAGCTATGATGCCTATGACCAGTATACCAATGACCAGTATAGCCGCAATGACTTTAAGAGAGCAGCATGCATGCTTTGGCAGTAACCAACAGGTCTCTAATTGGACTTAAGACCTGCTCAACAAGAGGGAGATTGTGCCTAGTGATGAAAACTTAGAAACTACCCAGGGCTAGCGAAGTCATGAATCTTGGAGGAGAACCTACAACCACTACTTTACTAAACCAGCATTTCTTTTTCTTTTCTTTTAAACCTTTTTGTTGTTTTTTTTTGTGAATTTCACATAATGTACCCCAATTCCACTCATCTCCCCCTTCCCTCATACCTACCCTCCTCCCTTGCAACGTTGCTCTACAACAGAGAAAAAAAAAAAACTCATTGCGGAAGCTGTAGTGTGTTACACAATACACCCTTTTGTCCGTACCTCTTTGCTTGCAAATGTTCATTGCAATGACTCATTGGTCTGTTAAGAGGCCTCTGGCTTCTGCTACTCTATCAGTATTGGAACCCCACCGGGACTCCTCTCAGATATCTTGTTGCCCTGTGGAGATGCTGCAGTTTTGGAGCTGTAGGACTGGCCCCTTCATACATCCAGCAGTTTATCAATGGAATAGATGTTGGGGTGGGCCAATTCAAAGCCCTGGATCTGTGCCTGAGAGATATCTGAGCAGGTTGGCTCACCAGCCCTCCTGCTCTTATGCTCTTATGGCTTGATCACCAGCAACCCTGCAACCAGGGCCAACTCATCCCTGCTGCCCAGGTGAGGTGCAGGGCCTGTTCTCCCGAATGTTGCAGCTCATGAGGGACAGGGCCAGTTCTCCCACTCTCATGACCCAGGGGTCAGTTCTCCTGCATACTGTAGGTGGCATCTGTCTCTCTTCTGTGCCACCCTACTGTGCTGTCCAGGTGAGGTGCAGGGTCGACTTTCCCAAGTGCTGTAGCAGGTGAGAGGCAGGGACAGCTCTCCTGCTCTCATGACTCCACTGGGTCGGTGAGGGCAAAATGGAGGGGAAAAATCTCTCCCTTGCTGACAACATTGCATAGCAGAAAAGAGGCAGGGCTGGCTCTCCCATGTTCAAGCCAGCTCACCCTCAATCCCCACACCCAGGGCCAGCTTTACTATGCTGTCCAAATGAGATGCAGGGCCTGTTCTCTTGAGTGCTGAGGTAGATGGTGGGCAGGAAGAGCTCTCCTGCTCTGATGACTGCAAGGCTAACTTTCCTGCCTGCTGTAGGTGGTAAGGGGTGGGTGGGTATCATCTCTCCCTTGTCCATGGCAAGGCACAACAGAAAAGTGGTGGGGTCAACTCTCCCAGGCTCATACCTTTGGGGCTGGCTTACCTCCAATTCCCACAATGTGTGAGGCCTGCTTTCCTGAGTGTTACAGCTGGCTAGGGGCAGGGTCAATTCTCCTGCTCTCATGCCTTTAGGGTCAGCTCTCCCATGATGCCCAGGTGAAGGATAGGGTCTGTTCTGTACAGCCCTCAGACATTAACATGTCTCTGGGCAGCAGCTAAGACTGGTAATGTCTGCTTGGCCTTTGGAGGTAACAGCCTCCTGCTGCTGCAGGGCATGGCCCCCGGGTGACAGCGCAGTCCAAGACCTAGCCATGGTCCCAGGTGGTATCGCTGACTACTCACATCAGACTGTTTCTCACTACCCTCAAGTGTGCAGTTCTGCCTATCTTCATTGTGCCCATATTCTACTGTTTTTCCTTCACTTCCATTTCTTCACCATTTTTTCCTGTTAGTGGTGCCCGGGGTCTCTGTGTGTCTGGGATTGTTTCAGAAGTGTCAGGAGTGGTTTCAGGAGTGCTATGCCCTGCTTGTGCATTTTGGTCCAGAGCAGGGGTCAACTCGGGCATGGTTTGCTTCACCAGGCCTGTGAGGACACAGACTGGTGGTCATCTCAGGCTTGCCTTTTTTTTTTTTTTTTTTTTTTCAGTGCTCATTAGGCTACTAATCGCTTAGATGCTCACAGGACAAAATAGTGAGCATAGACATAACCTCTTTCCTCACTGCCGTGTACTGATACACACGTGACACAGAGGTCATACCTGTAACACCTCTAAGGGCAGTTAAACCACCACCATTTTCAATAGACTCTAAATATGTGACCTTACATTCACAGATAACTGTAGTGCTCACCCCTCACCAAGGAGATTTTTCTGTGCAACAGAGGGAGACAATTACAGAAAACCACAGCCGATCAAAATTTCAAAGTTTGTGGAGTCCAGTCCCATTGATATATCTATAGCACAACTCCCACACTTAAGACTCAGGGATCTTTGAGGAAGAGGAGCCAGATAGAATGTAATATCCAGAGGAAAATGGTGTTGGCTGTTAGACCGTGTCTTCTAGGAATGTTAGAAGGTGCACACATGAAGTTTCATGAACATGACTGCCTGAACATGATCTGAGCAAGGACAACACCAGTAGACACAGCAAAGTGAATAGGAGAAAGCCCATGAGCCCTCAGCCCTACACAATGAACTACAAGCAACTAAGGAATGCTGAGAGTGGGAGAAATAGTCTTTTTCCCAGAGAAGAGCACATCACCTGGTTATCCAATATCAGAAGGTCAGCCCTGAAAATATACATGCAAGTAATATACAGAATGAGTAGCTTAGGAAGTTATATGTAAAAGATATACAAATATGCATGTAACAACAATTGATTTAAAAAAGGCCATGAGTTTGAAAGAGAGCAAGGAGGGTTATATGTTAGGGTTTGGAAGGAGGAAACGGAAGGAAAAAATGATATAATTATACTATGATCTAAAAAATAAAAGAAAAATACGGTAAACTTCCTTGCTATGTGGAGAATGAACTATGAACACAAAAAGTAGATGTGGCAAGACTATCATTCATTTATCTCACAAATATTTATTGGATATTTTTTTTTATATTCAAAGCTCCATGCTGCAGGGTTTGCCACCCTAAATAAAAGAAAACTCTTGTTTTGTCCTAGTGAAAGAGCCAAGGAGTGATGAAAGAGATATTCAAGGTCAGGCAGCGAGGCAGGATGGATGTTGCCATTTTCCACAGACTCACAGACTGCTGAGGCAACGTTGTATCTGGCTAGGTGGCATTTGAGTTGGGACCTCAGTTAGCAAGGTGAGGAAGACATCAGAGAGGCAGCTATTCCTACTTTCCCTGAGGAATACCTTGTCAGCTCAAAGAATTTTGAGTTTTTTTCCCACACATATGCTGGAAAATCATTGGAGGATTTAAATTTGCAGTGTGGCACCTGTGACTTATAAAGGGTTCTCTGGCTTCTATCTGGAGACCTCACTGTGAAGGGTCAAGAGTAGAAACGAGAAAGCTGGAAAATAAAGCTATTAGTCGGTCAAGATAATGATGGCTTGGATCATGGTAAGGACCCTAGAGAAAAATGTATGCAAGTGCAGGGAAGTCAGTAGAGAGCATGGGGGAGGTTTGCTGTCACTATCCTTTAAGAATGGGACAACGGGACCTCTAAAGAGCAACTCCAAGTCTGTCAAGACTTGCATCCCAAAATAGGAGCAGGTTTGGTGAGTTAGGATTTAGGGGTGTCCTGAGGGAGTCAGACATGAGAACTTGATTCTGGGAACTGAGAGTACTGTTTGTTCTGGAAAATTAATGATGTGATTTAGAGGAACAGCCCAAGGGCAGGGCACTCTCTCCTCAAAAGTGAGAAAAGAGCCAGGACCTTCCACAGGAAGCTGCTGAAGACAAGGCTTGCGGCATGTTTGCTTTGTTTGTGTTGATAATAGTTTTTCTGTTCTGCCCGTATTGGGGTAAGTCCTGGAAATAAAGATGTAGCTGGCGGGCACTTAAGAATTGGTCAGATGCCGGGGAACGAGGGATATTTCCAAACTGGCTGTTGGGGCCGTGGAGGTCTGTGAGATTGTGACAAAGGAGATTGCTTTTCTTTCTCTCCACAGGTTCCCTTCATAAAAATGAAGAAGGTATGACCATAGCTGGCATAGTCTTTGGTAAACCGTTCATTTGTGACATGATTAGGAGTAAACCTTTCTTCAGTTTGCTATAGAATACTTAGAATCCAGTGTTCTCCTGGCTTATTTACTCTATTTCTGTTAGTAAGAAGTTAAAGTTATCTTTGTTTCCTTTTACCCATTACAAATCCCCATGAGAAAATATTCAGTTTATACAAAGTGTTTATTACGTGAAATCTATCAGTAATTTCCACAGGAACCCTGACCTCCTCAAATGATATGCATTTGATTTGTGACTATAAACTTCTTTCTCACAATCCCAATCCCAACACTTGAGTGACAAAGGCACATGGATCACTGTAAGTTCAAGACCAGTCAGGGGTACATAGAGAAATAATATCTCAACAAAACAAAATAAAACAAGACATTTCTCTCTCACAAGATTATTGTAGGTGTCTTATTCAGGGAAGGTTCTACTATGGGCCAAGAGTAACTTCTGACAGAGAAGGGCCTAGTTGTAGAAATTTTCTCCAGACCACATTCACTAAATATTTCTTTCTGCATCTGACAGATCTTGGAACATTGTGTTACAGATGTAAGAAATATCATCTTGGGTTATGTTATGATATGATGAGATCCTGTTCACTGAAGCATAGGCAGTCCTGTGCTGCTGAGAACTTTTACATACTCACACCAAAAGGTAATGTAGAGAATAGGGTTAATGTAGAGAATAGGGTTAATAGGGTTAATAGCTGACCACACCCATCCTTCTGAATATTAGTGCTCTTTTGTGCTTAGGATGAGTGGAGAGTGGAGCTGATGAGGGTGAGTGGCTGGAAAGATGGAACTTTCTCAAAGATAACATTAAGTTATGGAGGAGATGATGTCTCTGGTCAAATTTGGAATGAAATCCTTTTTCTGGATTAGCAATGACTACAGGAAATGATGAGAAATTGAAGATGGATTATTACAAGGAATATGGAAGGAAAAAAAATGAAGCCTTTAAATAAAGCTGTTTCCCCCTTTCACTTCCTCAGGGCAGAGCATGTATCATTATTCAAGACTGTCATGTATGACCAACTGTGAGGACATCAACTTCCTGAGTTTTGAAAAGAGGACGGAGCTCATCTGCTGTAAACACAGTAGCTACTGCAACCTTCCAATGGGACTATAGTTTTGAATTTCCTATGGATTTGGGGTCATTCTTCAACTAAATTCCCACTCCCTTTCCCCTAAAGCCTGTGTTTTCTCTCCTATCGGAACTAATGGTAGAGAATGAGCAAGCCAGTAAATAGGGAAGCAGTCATAGGACAAATTGGTCTTGGGAGCTCAGCTTCCTTGCCAAGCAAATCTTTGTAAATTCTTTCTCTCACCTCTAGCAGGGCATTTTGATTTGCTGACACTTTTGCTTATCATGAGTAGGCTCAGAATTCCTTATTTCCTATACAAAAACACAGTTTTGTTTTTGGCTTAGAACGATATCTCAACTCTGTACGGAGAAATCTGTAAGTATACTCTGTCCAGATTTGTACCAAATTCTTTGAGTAAGGATTCTCTTTGGATAACTCTGAGACTTCCTGTTACATTGATTTCACTTATGGCTTCTGTAGGTAGGGAAATGGTAACATCACCTTTCCTGACAATCTCAGACAAGTTTTTGTTTGTTTGTTTGTTTTTGTTTTTGTTTTTGTTTTTTTCCTGGTAGATTTCATGGGGAAAATACCAGATGAGAAAAACTGGGACAGAGGAACAGAGGTAAAACTTTAGAAATTTGTGGAAATTGTCACTGATACAGAGACAGTTTGGTGTGTATGGATCTGGTTTGTATTATTAAGGCTCTGGCTGAACTAGATGATTGGATTGGGTATTAAAGCCTTGTTCAAAATTGACTACTCAGTTTCTTCTGATGGGTTTCTATTGTAGCTAAAGGTAATGGAATATGTAGAGCTAGCATGAGCATAACATTTTTTTTCTGTTGCTGTGATAAAACACTTTGACCAAAATCAGTTTTGGGTAGGATATGGTTTATTTGGTTTACACTTTCAGATCAAAATTCTCTATGGAGGCAGGACCTATAGAGGGATAATGCTTGAGAGCTTACTCACAGGCTTATGCTTAGCTTTCTTTCTCATACAATTCAGGACCACCTGTTCCATCCCTAGTGGCCTGGAACCTCTCGTGTCAATAAGAATAATCAAGATTCTCCCCCCCACAGACATATCTACAAGATGGTCTAATCTAGGCAATTTCTTTTTTTTATTTTAATTTTTTTCTTTACAATTTATTCATTATATATACCACTTGAAGTCCCCTCCCTCAACTTCTCCAAGTCCTACCATCCTTCCCTCTTACCCCCATCCCATTCCCCTAGTCCACTGAAAGGGGGAGTTCTCCACTATTGCCATCTGCCCATAGCTTGTGATGTCTCATCAGGACTGCCTGGATCCTCTTCCTTGGTGGCCTGGCAAGGCTGCATCATCAAGAGTGAGTGATCAAAGGGCAGTCAACTGAGTTCATAATAGAGGCAGCCCTTGCTCCCCTCACTCAGAGAACCATATGGAGACTGAGCTTCCACTCGACCACATCTGAGCAAGGGGTCTAAGTCCTCTCCAGGCATGGTCCCTTGGTTGGTGCTGAGTAATATTCCTTTGTGTAGATGTTCCACAATTTCTGTATCCATTCTTGCAATTTCTTATTTGAGGTCAGATCCCTGTAGGTTGTGTTAAGTTGATAAAGTTAACAAGACTATGGTGTTTGGGTAAAAATGTGTGCCATTATAAGTTAATGTTATGAGTAGCAGAAAGTATGAGAGAGTATAAAGGTAAGGGGAGAAACATCCAGATGTTACATTATCAAGTACCAAGGTATAAAGAAAACAAAATAGCACAGACACAGGAGCATCATTTATGGGGACAAGAAAGATGGAGGGTAACCACATATTTCTGTGGTTAGGAAGCCTACTGCAATTCCTGGTCCTGGATTCCTAAGAACCTTCTTAACTATATTAAGCCACATAAAGTTTTCCAATGAACAAAATGCTCCTTTACTTGAGTTAAATGAAATTTCTGCTAGGTAGAATCTTTCAGAGGCCCTCTGTGGTAGGCTCTTGTCCTGTTACTTGTTTTCTCCTACTTCCAATATCCATCCCATTTGTCTTTCTAAGTAAGGATTGATCATCTTACTCCAGGTCCTCTTTCTTGTTTATCTTCTTTAGGTGTATAGATTTTAGTCTGTTTATCCTATCTTATAGGTTTAGTACCCACTTATAAGTGAGTATATGCCATGTGTGTCTTTCTGCCCCTGGGATACCTCACTCAGGATAATCTTTTCTAGATCCCACCATTTGCCTGCAAATTTCATGATTTCCTTGTTTTTAATTGCTGAGTAGTATTCTGTTGTGTAAAAGTACCACAATTTCTGTATGCATTCCTCTGTTGATGGACTTCTGGGTTGTTTCCAGGTTCTGGCTATTATGAATAAAGCTGCTACAAACATGGTTGAGCAAATGTCCTTGTGTACTTGAGCATCTTTTGTATATATAGTACCTAGCAATATATCAAAGCAGATGCTGAGACTCGTAATCAAACATTCGGCAGAGTTAAGGGAATCACATGAAAGAAGGGGGAGTTAGTATGATCTGGAGAGGACAGAAGCTCCACAAGGACCAAATATATCTGGGCACAGGGGTCTTTTATGAGACTGTATTTCCAACCAAGGACCATGTATGGATATAAACTAGAACCCCTGCTCGGATGTAGTCCATGGTAGCTCAGTATCCAAGTGGGTTTTCCTAATAAGGGGAACAGGGACTATTTCTGACATGAACTCAATGGCTGGATCTTTGACCAACCTCCCCCCCGCCCCGCCCCCTGAGGGAGGAGCAGCCTTGCTAGGCCACAAAGGAGGACATTGCAGCCAGTTCTGAAGAGACCTGATAAGCTAGGGTCAGATGGAAGGGGAGGAAGACCTCCCCTATCAGAGGACTTGGAAAGGGACAGGGAGGAGATGAGGGAGGAAGGGCAGGATTGTGAGGGAATGAGGGAGCAGGCTATAGCTGGGGTACAAAGTTAATAAACTGTAATATTAAAAAGAATGAAATTTCTGTCTTTGTCTTATGTTTGAGAAGGTAGTTTGTACTTCTTTTTGAGGAATTCCCAATTTGGATTCTTACATGCATAAAATAAAACAAAACAGCCCCAAGCCCCCAAACCAAACCAACCAACCAAACAAACAAACAAGAGATAGTTTTTCAAAATATACAAGCAGGTTGGAAAAGCCAATGTAACATGGAGGTTCGAGTTTGCATCATGGAATTTTAGCATATCTCAATTCTTTCATCCCTTCACCATATAAGAATGGTAGAGGTCAGTGTAGGGAAAAGTTATTTAGCATTGAATTTCAAAATAACTTTTAACAAAGCCAAATTTGTGTTTTGTTGGGCAAGAAGAGTTCTAATTAATTATAAGTTCATTCTTCTGTGCTTCATGAATAAATACCAGGAATGGTGTTTCCTGCTTTTTCCACAGCACTGGACATATGCAGATGTGGGTGTTTACGGTGCCCATGCAGACTCTGTTCTGGTCCATGTGCCCAGTTGCGTGGGCCATTGGCTTTTTAAAAAATTTTTAATTATACTTTATTTACTTTGTATCCCCCCTCTAGTTCCCTCCCTCCTCCCCTCCCAATCTTTCCCTTCCTCCCCCTTCTCCAGATACTCCCCTCCCCAAGTCCACTGGTAGGGGAGGGTTTCTTTTTCTTCCTTCTGATCCTAGTCTGTTAGGTCTCATCAGGAGTGGCTGCATTGTCTTCCTCTGTGGCCTGGTAAGGCTGCTCCCCCCTCAGGGGGAGGTGATCAAAGAGCAGGGCAATCAGTTCATGTCAGAGACAGTCCCTGTACCCATTACTATGGAACCCACTTGGACACTGAACTGCCATGGGCTACATCTGTGCAGGGGTTCTAGGTTATCTCCATGCATGGTACTTGGTTGGGGTATCAGTCTCAGAAAAGACCCCTGTGCTCAAAATTTTTGGTTCTGTTGCTCTCCTTGTGGGGTTCCTGTCCTCTCCAGCTCTTACTATTATTTCCCACTTCTTTCATAAGATTCCTTGCATTCTGCCCAAAGATTGGCCATAAGTCTCAACATCTGCTTTGATAGTCTGCAGGGCAGAGCCTTTCAGAGGCCCTCTGTGGGAGGCTCCTAACTTGTTTCCTGTTTTCTTCTTCTTCTGGTGTCCATCCTCTTTGCCTTTCGAAGTAGGGATTGGGCATTTTAGCCAGACTCCTCCCTCTTGATTAGTTTCTTTAGGTGTACAGATTTTAGTAGGTTTATCCTATATTATATGTCTATATGAGTGAGTATATACCATGTGTGTCTTTCTGCTTCTGGGATAGCTCACTAAGATGATCCTTTCCAGTTCCCACCATTTACCTGCAAATTTCATGATTTCCTTGTTTTTCATTGCTGAGTAATATTCCATTGTATAGATGTACCACAATTTCTATATCCATTCTTCAGTTGAGGGGCATCTGGGTTGTTTCCAGCTTCTGGCTATTACAAATAAAGCTGCTACAAAAAAGGTTGAGCAAATGTCCTTATTGTATACTTGAGCCTCTTTTGGATATATGCCTAGGAGTAGTATAGCTGGATCTTGAGGAAGCGCTATTCCTTGTTGTCTGAGAACGTGCCAGATTGATTTTCAGAGTGGTTGTACCAGTTTACATTCCCACCAGCAGTGGAGAAGGGTTCCCCTTTCTCCACAACCTCTCCAGCATGTGTTGTCACTTAAGGTTTTAATCTGGCCATTGGCTTTTAAAAGCTCAGTTTCTTATCTCTCAGGTTTCTCTCTACAGGATTTGCTTTGTTTACTTACCAAACTTCCAACTTGAGTATAGACAACAACTGATGAGTGTCTGGACTTTTGAGCCAAGGTGTGAGTCAGTCTGTGGTATAATTTGTGCCCAGCACATCTTATAAATGAGACAAAGCTAAAGCTAGTCTTTAGGTGAGACCATATTTTTCTCCTAACTGCACTCTGTCTGTTCTGCCCAGTTCACAAACCCCAAAAGACCAGGAATAAACAGACTCCACTGTAAATACATGAGGTTCTTTTTATTATAAATCATTATAAACTGCAGCTTGGGCCCATAACCCCACCGCCAAAGAAATGAGAGCC